GTTCTACGTTGCATCTGACTGACTGACACTAGTGAGAACTTATATGCTGTGTAAAAGCTCAGCGTGCATACACGTGCTACAGGCTTGTTTGGCTATGGCTATCACCTCAAACATAACTCCAGCTATGAAGCAGTGCTTCGCTATTGTACTGTTTACATACAAACATAAGAGAATTCTCGTTGTGATTAAGTGTACAGACGGAGTTTGAAGTGGAAGATATTCATTCATTCTTTCACTCTGCACTAGACACTTTAATACACAATTTACCTTGAGTGCATTTTATGTTTTGGTAAATTTAGCGTAAGCACCTATCTGATTAATTTCACTTTTCAACGTCATCTATGCATATACCATGTGACTAACTATATTTTTAATTGGGGGTAACTATTTTGTTAAATTTTTGACGCAACAATAAAATTGCATTTACCAACTGAATAATCATAGTAAAGTTAATTCCATTTGATCGTATGGACAGGAGAACACTTGATGGCGATGCCTTTGAGGACGTAAACACCTTTACATAGCTGAGCAGTACCATTGGTGAGCAAAGTGGATCTAATGCAGATGTGAAGGCGCGAATCGGCAAAGCAAGGGCTGCGTTTCGACAATTGAACAACATCTGGAAATCAAAACAACTGTCAACAAACACCAAAATCAGAATTTTCAATACAAATATGAAAAAAAGTTCTACTTTATGGGGGCTGAAACTTGAAAAACTGCCCAAGTCATCATTCGAAAGATTCATGTGTGTTCATTAACAGCTGTCTACGCAAAATACTTCGGATCCGTTGGTCAGATACGATCAGCGACAATGTGCTGTGAGAGAGAACAAACCAGGTTTCAGTGGAGGAGGAAGTCAGTAAGAAGCGGTGGAAATGGATAGGAAAAAAGGAAGGTCAAGGAACACATTACGCCGAAAAATGGGGATAGACATGAGAAGAATAAACAAAAATTGGACAGAACTGGAAAGTGAGGCCCAGGATAGAGTAGGTTCGCGAGTACTGGTCTGTGGCCTATGCTCCATTGGGGGTAACAGGCTTAAGTCCGTAATTACCTCGACTTTATTATCATTCACGAAGAAAGCGAATAAGAGTAATCATATACTACAGACGACCTTGAGCGGTCTGCCAGCCAATCAGGGAAAATTATGTAGTTATAAAACAATGAACAATCTATCAGTGGGACAGTAGCTTTGATCTGATGAATAATCAGCTCTGACATGTATTATTCATTTTAAGCGGAATCAAAATACTAAGTTCATCTATTAAAAGTCGGTTTAGGTTTATGAGTTAGGGGTTATCGCCAACTCACAGAGAGCCCTTTCGTCTTAAACTGACACCGACGATGGATGCAAAAGTGTTCGTATTAACTGCTAAGAGTTAAACCAGTGTTCTGAGTTTGTTGTTTCCAACTGAGTTTGAAGTTTCCATCATGCAATCACATCAGCTATATGATACCATGCTCCATAACTGTACTACTGCTTTCTATTTACAATCTTATCGTGACTTATCGTTAAGAATTTTTCGATGAAGAGTTTCAAGTGGAATATATTATCTCGCTCTCTCTCTCTCTCTCTGTTCAACTAGAGTCTGTTAACCAACAAGCATTCAACGATAACACAAGTACTTTAAGTCACAATTTACTTGGAGTGCATTTTTGTTGTAACAATAAAGTCACTTTACAAACTTCTTATCGGTTAATTCCTACTGATCAATTTTATTGTCGTCCTAGATAGCAATGTCACGTGCTCCAATGTTGTTTCTTATTGGTTGTTCTGACTATCAATATCACTTCAAATTTTGCTTCCTATTGGTCGTCTTAACTGTCAATTTCACAGACATCGATGCTGTTTCCTATTCGACCAAAATGTTTAGATATGCATTACGCGTAACGTTTTATGACCAGGACCCGGTCCTGGATCCCTAGTCTGGGATCCTGATTTTCTTCTGGACTTGGACCTCGTACTTTCTGGATGCTTGAAGAATACAGGTTCGACTTCATATCAAGTCTTCTTATTTTTACTCAATTTGGTGGTTGGAATAATCGGATTTGAGTAGCATGTCGTGTCACCGGATCCTTGATCCTCGCTCTCGTTTTCTGACTATGTAAACTCGCAATAGTTCAAGTGCATCAAGTTGACGTGTTTACGTGCAGGCGTAGCAAAACTGTTTCAAGTTTTAATTAGCAACGCTGTCGTTAGGAAACGAGTTCTAAGTAAGAATGGCAGATCAATAGATGAAGTAATGAAACTTCGTCAGTTGAGATGGTTGAGACATGTGTTACGAATGCCTAACCACCGACTGCCTCGACGAGCTTTGTTTTGTAATGTAGGAGTAGGTTGGAAGAAAGTTAGTGGCGGCCAAACCAAAACATTGCAGAAATCCATGAAATCATTGACAAGTAGACTTAGCCATGTCGGTAATTGTCGACTACCTGGTTGGGGTCCGCGAGATGATAATAATTGATGGTTAGAGACCTTGAATGACATGTCTCAAAGCCGTTTGCGATGGCGTCGGTGCATTTATTCTTTGTGTTCTCTCAAATCCTAATCTTCTGGATTCTTCAACCCCTCTAGTTTTGACTTTCTAAACTTTTCTCATTGAATCATACTTCTTGAATAATATCTTCTAATCGTAACCTCTCCGATTACTTCTAATGCCTTTTTACTACCTCTTCTACTATTGGATTTGAATCGACAATTATATCACTGCGTTGATGTGGTATGGCAACATGAACTGATGTACTTACGTACGAAGTTCTACGTTGCATCTGATTGACTGACTGACTGTTTACAATCTTATCGTGACTTATCGTTAAGATTTTTTCGATGAACAGCTTCAAGTGGAATATATTATCTCTCTCTCTCTCTCACTCTCTCTGTGTTCAACTAGAGTCTCTTAACCAACAAGCATTCAACTATAACACAAGTACTTTAAGGCACAATTTACTTTAAGTGCATTTTTGTTGTAACAATAAAGTCACTTTACAAACTTCACTTTGTAATTACCAAAAAAAAAATTTTCTATTGATCAATTTCACTTACATTCAGCATTTTATAAGAACCATATATATATATATATTTGTAGATAGATAGTCAATTTCTTGTTCGTTAATATTACTAATCATAATCAATCACCATTGCACCTTAATTTTTTTTTACACAAAATATATAATCACATACATTTGGGCGTGTCATCTTCTTGATTCACACTTCATACAGGGCGTTAGTGTAGTTAAAGTAGTGTAGTATTTTTTTTACTATAACCCTTTTGTAGATGGGGAGGTGAATTTTTTATTTCAAGAACAACTATTCATAACTTATTGTCAAACCGTGTTCGCACACACACTAGCACACTGATGAATCAATAATGATTGCATTTTTCTCAGAAATATGTACAAAGACATCTCAAACGAAATAAATTCAGTTTGTCTATTCAAAGACTGTGTTTGTTACTGATTGAATATAATGATTTCAATATGGTAACTCAACAGTTTCTACAACCCTATCATGAGCTCACTAGTGACTAGTTTCGTGAGGCACCTTCTCTGAGTTCGAGCAAGAAGTCATGTAACCAGTGGAGTTCAACCTTATTCGGGTGTGCTCATCGAAGACAGTGTATGAGGTTGCACGAAAACCTTGGAATGATCGAAATTACACATTTACATCGTTAGATACAGGCTTAGTTGTCCAGAGGATGTGCGGTCTCGGGCGCTAGACTGGTTAGGTTACTAGTCTTCGATCATAGGTGTCTCCGAAGCATCCTATGACGACCGAGTAAGCAATGCTGCCGTTAGGAAACAAGTTCTAGGTATGTATGGCAAATCGACAGATGAAGCATTGAAACTTCATCATTTGAGGTGGTTGGGACATGTGTTACGTATGCCTAACCACCGACTGCCTCGACGAGCTATGTTTTGTGGTGTAGGAGTAGGTTGGAAGAAAGCTAGGGGCGGCCAAACCAAAACATTGCAGAAATGCATGAAGTCACTGACAAGTAGACTGACTCATGTTAGTAGATGTAGGGTACCTGGTTAGAGTCCTCGAGATGATAGTAATCGATGGTTGGAGACATTGCGTGACATGGCTCAGAATCGTTTGCAATGGTACAGGTGCATCCACTCTTCGTTTGCTTTTTAATTCTAACCTTTGAATTCCTCATCATCTCTATCTTTCTCCTTCTATATTTATCTCACTGAGTTATACTTCTCGAATCATATCTTCGTTCCCTAATCTTCTCCATTATGGTGTGAGCTATCTATAAGTAGTATATGACGTGAGTGTCAACGTAATGTCTGGCAGCAGAAGATGGGGGAAGATCAAGAAAGGAAGAGTTAGAAAACAACGGAATTTGTATGAAACGCATGAATAGTGACAATGGATTGATGTTTTGCAACAGGAACAGTCCAGTTTGATATGATGGACTGATAATTTGCAAATTAACGATTTACGATATGGTTTTCCGATTTTACTGAGTAACTCTGTAATTTTCTTTAAATACAATTCGGTTGCCCCACCTGTGTTCTCCTTCACTACACCATTACTGCTAATAATTCCACTATCGCTATCACTCTTGGATTTGAACTGGCAGTTACATCTCTGTGCTGACGTGGTATGGCAACATGAACTGGTGTAGTTATATACGAAGTTCTACGTCGTATCTGTCTGTCTGCCTGCTAGACTGGTGGTGCTGGGTTCGAATCTTGCGAGTTGTGGGAGTCGTGGATGCCCACTGACACTGAAGGGTTCCACACCAGGACGTAGTGTCCGTCCAGTAGTGCTTCTATTTTTCTAACATGGTGGTCTAACATTGATCGATTCATGATTTTCTATAAAGACTATCAAGAGTGCGGACTGTAGGTGGTACTCACACACGCACACAAACTATGGCGGTCAATAATAATTCAAGGATCAATGTTTATAATATTTATTATTATTGTTATTATTGAGCATTGAATGTTTCTGTTCTTTTTCTTGTGTTTTTTGTGTGTTTTATACACAGAAAATAAACAAAAGAACGATCCGACTGTATTGAATACTTCTGACACTGCTACTACTACTACTCCTACTCCAACCACTACTAATAATGATACTACAGAGTTCATGGAAGGAAACAATCCTACTCAGATCGATAATGTTAGTCCATCTAATTTCGATGAAATCAATAAAAATAATTCTAACAATCAAACAGATCATAATACGATGGTTGATCAGTTATTCAATAGAGATTTAATGAATAACGATTCTCCACCTGTAGATTCGTCTGCGAGTAAATCTCACAGCGACGACACCATCTCTTCTTCCTTGTCTCATGGTGAAAATGTGAATAAACAATCAGAAGAAGAAGATTTGGAAATTCTTCATCATCGTCATCATCATCATGATAAATTTTGTGATAAAATTGATCCTGTCAAGTTATTACATGAACCATTTTGTCCAGGTAAGTTTTTTTTGTTGAGTTGATTTATTTATTTAGAGAATGGACACCTGATTGTATTGTGTCATGGTCAGAGTCAGTTGCAGTAGTGTTGATGAATCTGATTTCTTGTTATCCATTCCCCTCTAAATGCCCTAGTGCGGCTGGGAGTGAAGAGAGTCTGCTGTAGCTTTCGGCATACTCTCCTATCACAATATATGTATAGTCAATGTCACTGCCTTCTGATGACAGAGCATATTGTTTATGCAGTTGCGAGGATGAAAAGCGAATATCCTACGCTTAATCTGGGTTGGTTGTGAGTGCGGACGATCCACCTATGTCTGTTGGGAAACCCTTATTCCAAACCAATAGCGCACATGCACTGCAGGATCCTAAGTGAACAAACGGTGTATGAATCTGATATGCTTGAAACTATTACGAGTTCACCTTACTCGGTAAGCGGAACGAAGATCAGCGATGCAATGACACGATAGGCTATTCTAATTCGATTGTCCCAGGTCCTACTTACAAAAGCATGATAAGGAGTAGGGAGAATGTATTCTACAGGCACCTAGAAAGGTTGAAGTTCCTAAGCACACAACTCAAGCTTATTTATTTACACAATGATAAAAGCGCCCTTGGTGAGAGCCACCAAATAGCATACTAAAATAACCCATCAACCAATGACAGTTAAGGATTTTCCCAAGTGGGAAATGTAAGCTAAAAGTCAACTGGGCATCTCTGGCGCCGTAAACATAAAAATTCAAATTTCCAGAAACAAATTACTAAATTAAGATCTTTTCCAAATGAGTTCTGAGGATCTAACGTCCCCAACAGTATCTATTGTTGGTAGTAGACTTGTGGTGCGCGCTTCTTATAAGTAGTATATGACGCGAGTGAAAACGTAATGTCTGGCAGCAGAAGATAGGGGAAGAGCAAGAAAGTAAGAAGAGTGGGAACACAATGGAATTTGTATGAAACGCATGAATAGTGAAATGTCAGACAAGGAATTGATGATGGATTGATGTTTTGCAAATTAACAGTTTACGATATGGTTTTCCTATTTTACCAAAGAACTCTGTAATTTACGATAAATACAATTCAGTTGCCCTCACCTCTGCTCTCCTTCACTACAGACTGTCTGGTGGATTTCAACTTGTTGATCATGCGCTCAGGGAATGGCTCCCTAGTTAGATCCCTTTTATGGGTGCATGCAGTGGGACGACAGTCTACACGAAAAACCCCATGATTAGTGTGGCACATTGTAATTTAGGTGTCTTTTTGTGCCAATAACCCTAACCTCTTCCTCTACTTAGTGGAGCCTTGGGACGCTTGGATCAGAGTAGCCTGTCGTGTCACTGGATCAATTGTCTTCGCTCTCGTTTACCGACTAAGGTGAACTCGTAATAGCATTCAAGCATATCAATTGACGAGTATATCAGTGTGACAACCCCTTTTTTCCACCATCACTATTGTTGTTGTGCATATTTTTCCTACTGTCTCGTATTTGTCATAATAATTTCATTTTCTTGGGTTCGTTTGACCAAATGGATCGATATGGCTATGTGTCAGCTTCGAAATTGTTTCGCATTGATTGACTAACTAACTGATAGTTTCCTACGTATTGTGGTTTACAAAATATATCATGACTATTGTGTATCATTTGACTGAAAGCTTAATTAAAATAAAATACCATTGTGATAAATTGATTATATTGTTTGTAAAAAGGCTGATTGATCTGTATACTCGTCAGCAAGTTGTATTTGTAATCTTGAAGGAACTGATGGTCCGTGGTTGGATTTGATCCTGTGCCATCTGGCTTCACAGTCTGAGACGTTATTACAGAGCCATCTGTGCTTCAGCTGACTTCTTGTGTTACTGAGCAGTAATCAATGTCATGTGTGGCGCATAAATATCTAGGTACCGTTTGGTATCAGTCAGTCAGTCAGCTACAACGTAGAACTTCGTACATACTTACGTAGTACATCAGTTCAAGTCGTCATACCACATTAGCACAGAGAGACGGAATGGTCAATTTGAATCCCGTAGTAGTAGTAGATGTAGTAGACGTCTTAGCGGTAATGTGTAGAAGATTAGGGTTCGAAGATATTATTCAAGAATTATAATCCAGTGAAATAAACTTAGAAAAGTCATGAAAAGAATGGATATATCTGCATCAGTGAAAACGATTTGAAACCATTTCATTCAAAGTCTCCAACCGTCGGTTACTATCATCTCACGGACCCCAATCACAGGTAGTCTACACCTACCAATATGGCTCAGTCCAGTTGTCAGTGACTTCATGGATTTGTGCCATGTTTTGGTCTGATTGTCTTTAGCTTACTACCAGCCAACCCCTCTATCAGACAACATAGCTCGTCGAGGAAGTCGGTGGTTGGGCATACGTAATACATGTCCGCTTTGTATCAACAGAAAATGTTATTCTCTCATTACCAAATATGGCAGATACTACTTGTAACATGGATTCTAAGCAGTACACAGTGGAGTGTTCCACTGAAGTTACTACCGGCGAAAAGAGTGTCTGTCCTCTCCGGATGTGTATGTATGAAGCGATCAGAGTGTTCCAAGAACTGGGAGATATGTCAAAGACAGAAGGCAATCAATTAATTATCTGATTGTGTTTTGTAAATGGAAAGTCTGACGATTAAGTTGTACGCATGCACATTCTGACTGGTAAGTAAGTAAACTGTGTCTTCACTAAATACACTATTATTTCATGTGGTCCGGCTATGAGGGCGGATGTTATTTCCCGGCTGCCCACACCGTGCAAGGGTGTTTCTTGAAGAACCTGAAAAGGAAGGTAGATTAGTGTCAATTTTACAGACCTGAGAGCGTGACCGCAGAGCCCCTGAAGGACAATTACTTGAGGCCGGTCACGCACGGCCTTTTTATGAGAAGTTTTGACGTGTTAGCTTCGCTCTTCAACTGCTTTTATCTCCGGAGACGGAAGTCCGTGAGGTAGGGTGAGGTGTGACACTTTTATGGTCAACCTTTTCCAGCCAATTCCTTCCGTTGTGAGAAGGCAGCATCACTGCAGGTGCTGGTTGTCTGAGGGAAACACATTACTGCTGTGACCCCTCTGCAGTCAGCAGTACGAATTTGCCCTCAGACCTAGAGCAGATGGTTTTAGTTTCATCGTTCTCCCATCGACCTGCCTGGCATGATAGAATCTACAGGAAACCATGTTCCACCCAATATAGCTCGGTTGGATCACCATGATAGTGTTAGGATATTCATCCAATATCCTAAGAGAATTATTGGTCAGTTCCTATTGGTTAATTTCTACTGGTCGGAGTGTCACGTGCTCCAATGTTGTTTCTTATTGGTTGTTCTGACTATCAATGTCACTTCAAATTTTGCTTCCTATTGGTCGTCTTAACTGTCAATTTCACAGACATCGATGCTGTTTCCTATTCGACCAAAATGTATATATACGGATTATCTGTAACATTTTATGACGACGACCAGGACCAGGGCTCAGTCCCGGATCCCTGGTCTGGAATCCTGATTCTCTTCTGGATTCGGACCTTGCACTTCCTGGATGCTTGTAGAATACAGGTTCTACTTCATATCAAGTCTTGTCTTCTTTTACCCAATATGGGGGTAGGGATAATCGGATTTGCGTAGCATGTCGTGTCACCGGATCCTCGATCCTCGCTCTCATTTTCCGACTAGGTAAACTCGTAATAGTTCAAGTATATCAGGTTGACATGTTTACGTGCAGGCGTAACAATAGGCGAACCCGAACTCCATATCAAGGTAGCAGCTACAGTCAGTTATGGAAACCTGAACTTATATACTTACGTACGAAGTTCTACGTTGTAACTGACTGACTGACTGATTGACTGGCTGATTATTTTATCTGGTCTTCACTTCTTCTTTGTTCATATAATTTTTTTCTAGCCGGATCAATATTGGATCCTTCTGTAAATCATCATCATCATGATACACCGAGTGATTGTCCCAATGCCAAAGTCGCGACTAATAATCATTCACCGCCAACAACCAGAACAACAACAACAACAACAACGCTACATCAATCTCATTTTCATCATACACCACCTCATGTCAACTATAATCATAATACTCCAGTTGAAACCTTCACTATCGATCAAATTCCACAGAATGTGAGCGCAACCACACATAATGTAAGCGGTACATCATCACAATCTCTACATAATGAATCATTTCGTCGATTGACAACTAATGAAATGAGTTTATTCTCTCGATTAAAAAGTAAGTTACCGAATAAAATGCCAAAATGTTTGTATAACGGAACTTTTCTTTTCGGCAATGTTTATATACGTTCTGGCTGACCTTGGGACATAGTCGATATTTAGGCTTTATATGGTTGGTTAAGGGGATCTCAGTCTGACCACCCAGTGCGTGAGGATGCTGGAGGTTAGTTAGTTGGAATGGCTGCTGGCTAGTGCACGGCTTGGGCGGTTCAGTAACATGTAGACAGGGTGCCAAGTCTAACTGAGTAAGAGGCCAGCCTAGCTGCCTTCACAGATTGGGGAGTTTGGGTTGTGGATTGGTTAGAGGGACCAAGTCGTTTCATAAGAACTCGTAGATGGGTGCCTGTTCGTGCACAGACTGATTGGATGACCGACTGACCTATTGTTCATTTACCGTTGGTTGGAAGGAGGAGGATGATCAGTAAACGCAGTGATGAGAAGTTCTGTGTTGTGTAAAAAAGCTCAGCATGTGTGCTTGTGCTACAGTTTATATTTCTCTCATTGAACCGGATATTCGACATAGTGCGCTCACTCACTCACTCAGTCACTCACTACACAGTGATTAAGATCACGTTAAATCAGATTATACGGTTCATGAGCATAAATTAGCGAGCCACAGTGTAGTTAGTATAAGCGATCAATAATATTTTTACTGCAAACACAATTGCAAACAGTCAGTGAGTTTGGATTATAAATAAGCAACTAACTAGAAACGTAATCACATGTTTAATAGTTAGTAAGTCGATTAAATGCCTGTTTGTACCACACTTGTCATGATTATGGAATAGAATTTCATTGAGTCACCTGACTTGTGACTAGGAGAACATGTATTTTAAGTGATTTATATAAAAGGTTGTCAAATATTATTATGGTGCAGTTGAGTCTGGAGTGAGTCCTATCATCCCCTCGCGTTATGTTCGTGTGTATATGGCTATACTTTCAGAGGAGTTCTACTCACTGCTTTCCGATGGCAATGGTGTTGTTTATCAAACTGAGTGGTGGACGAAAAGCGGTTGTCGGGCGACTAAAAACTGGGTACAGAGCATATTTCCTTAGACATCAACACGTAGAGTAGTTGGCGAATCGTGATTCCATACCGATGGTGCATATGTGCTCTGGAGTTCTATAGGAGTGAATGGCGTATAAACTTATTCTTCGTGATCGGTTGTAGAGTTGTTCCATCGCCTTGTGAATGAGACCTCTGTGTAAAAGATTAGCGGAGTAACCCAATAAGTCCATTGACTGTATGCTCCTTTGTTTCTATAATACTTTGTTCAAATACTAATATAACCTAGAGTTTAATTACAACGGAAAAACCATAGGCCGAATATCTCAGCGGTGCGCATCCATTACCTCGCAACGAGGAATCAAATCCAGTATCTGTGGTCCCATGCGCGAACACTTAACAACTGAATCGTTATCCAACGGTGTTCATGTCTAACTCCAATCCATCCATGATCTTGCAGGATCATTATTCTTCGTCTTCAGTGGGTAACTAAACTACCTCATAACCGCACACGGTCTGGTTCCGCTAGTCACGATTTCTCATCTGTTACCAATTTATGATAATAATGGGATAATACTATTCAGTCTTCTGTTTATTTTTCTCTCTCATTTCAGATGCTATAAAACATACTGTGTTTAGTACATTTTCACAATGGTTCTCATCGACACAAGGTAAATCCATATATTGATCAGTGTGATGAATTGATGTTTTTTATCAAGTTGATTTGCTTACTTGGTTGTCTACTTTGTCAGTCAGTCAGTTAGAACTTCGTACGTAAGTACATCGGTTCAGGTTGCCATACCACATTAACACAGAGACGCAACTGTCAGTTCAAATCCCATAGTGGTAGAGATAGTAGAATTATTACTAGTAAAGGAGAAGATTAGGGTTTGAAGATATTATTCAAGAAGTATAATTCAGTGAGATCAGTTTAGAAAGACAAAGGTAGAGGTGTTGACGAATCCAGAGGATTAGGATTTGAGAGAACACACAGAATAAATGCACCTGCCTCATTGCAAACGATTTTGAACCATGTTGTTCAATGTCTCTAACCATCGGTGACTTTCGTCTCGCGGACCCCAACCAGGTAGTCTACATCTACCAACATGACTCAGTCCACTTGTCAGTGACTTCATGGAATTGTTCCATGTTTTGGTCTGGCCGCCCCTAACTTTCTAACCTACTCCTACACTCCAAAACATAGCTCGACGAGGCTGTTGGTGGTCAGGCATTCGTAACACATGTCCCAACCACCTCAACTGATGAGGTTTCAATACTTCATCTACTGATCTGCCATCCCTACCCAGTACCCTTTTCCTAACGACAGCATTTCCTACTTGGTTGTCCCACGTTACATAAGCAATGCTCCTAAGACATCTATGGTCGAATACTAGTAACCTACGAATATCTTCTACTCTGACTGGCCATGTTTCACATCCATATAGGAGAACGGAGCAGACTGCTGCACAGTACACTCAATCTTTACTTTGTACGGATTCTCTATTATAATTTTTTGGAAAAATGGTTTGCAACTGATTAATGCTTTTCAAATACTTTTGGTAAATTCTCCGTATCTGCTAACCTGGTTTAAAGTCTAAATTTGTATTTTCATTCTGTCAACTTCTTGAAAGACCAATCCCACCACGTTAACGTACAAGGTTTAAAAGGTGTGATCATGTGAGAGGATTTTGATAGAAAGAGCGGATTTTCACACATACAAGAGGAGTCGATGTTATTATAACACTTATCATTAATCAATATCTGACCAACGAATGCCCCGAAATCGCTGAGAGTGCATAGATTTCGATCTTTCTCAATTGAAATACTCTCATATGATCTCATGTGTATAGGCACTAACACGGAAGGAAATCCTACACATTGTGTTCTCGTTGTGAGGATGTTTTTAACTGAATTGGAAAAACGTAAAGCAAACTTCTGGTGCCTAAACCTGGTTAGTGTTTAGTGTGGAGAATCTACCTGGGGAAAATTCAAAACTTAGCATCAGTCCATGAAATTATTGACAATTAAAACTGAGTTATGTTAATAAGTATAATAAGCTGCTTGATTTGGTTGCGCGTGATAATCGTCACAAGTGGTTATTAACTTTGCATGACGCAGCTATATCCATTCTTTATCTTCCCTCAATTTCTAAGCTTCAGAATACTTCATAGCTTTCTTTGAATCAACCTTACAGCAACTAAGACTGATTAAAATTGCAGTTAAACATTTCAACAGCGAAATTAAACCAAACCATTTCAAAAATAAATTAGATCTCATAACGGCTGCACAAACGAGTGGCTATCCGGACTCAATAGGTAAATAAATGGATAACGTAATAACATTTGAAACGAACGGTACTGGGTTTGAGTCTCGAAGGGAACATCAACTCTAGGATATGGCAGGTACATCCAGCTACCTACAGATGAGTCCTATCCTGTATTCCGCCACTGTAGCCATATTCTACCTGTTCTAATGTAAATTTGTATGATAATATCAATATCGAAACAATCCTCATTGGATGCCTATTTACTAACCAAGACTGATCAGATTGCTGTCAAAATATATGGACAATGGGACGATGCAAATCCAACGGTGAACTTCGGTAAATAACTACTTCACACCCGACAGAGTTGAACTTCAAATTGATCACATGACTTCTCACTACTAGAACACTGTGAATTTCTTCACAAAGCTAGTCAGTCGCTTAGTGAGCCTGCGAGACCGAAGGGTTCGACTCCCGAAAGGAACAGGGCTAGTGGATGGGCAATGCCAATAACGAAGAGTCCCATATACTAAGACGATAAAACCGTCCAGTGCTTTAGGTTTCTTCTTGTTGGGGACGTTAGATCCCCAGAACTCACTTGATAACAGTCTTAATTTAGGATTTTTAGTTTTCGCGCATGGGCTGATCAGTTGACCTTGAGATTACATTTCCTACCCGGAAAATCCTTGGCTGTTATTGGTTGATGTATTATTTTAGTTCGCTATTTTTGTGGCTCTCCGAAGGGCGTTTCCATGATGTATAAATAAACTCGATTTGTGTGCTTGTCAACCTCATATTTTCTGGGTGCTTGTAGAATACACTTTCAACGCTATATCAAGACTTCTTCCTTTACTTAGTGGAACCTTGGTATGCTGGGATTAGAGTAGCCTATCATGTCACTGGACCATTTGTCTTGTCTCTCGTTTACCGACTAAGGTGAACTCGTAATAGCATTCAAGCATATCAATTGTGGCAAGCACAACACATAGCTAGTCACTTAGTGTGCTCGCGTAACCGAATGGTTCGACTCCCACAAGGAGCTGGGGTAGTGGGTCGTTGATGTTCACTGTCATCAATGAAGAGTCCCATATACTAGGATAAAACAGCTGTCTGATGCTTTTAGGTTTCTTCTAATGATGGTCTAATATATAGATTGATTCATGAATTCATATTGTGGTGCAAGCTACTTATATGTAGTATATGACGTGAGTGTCAACGTAATGTCTGGCAGCAGAAGATAGGGGAAGATCAAGAACGGAAGAAAATCGGGAACACAATGGAATTTGTATGAAACGCATGAATAGTGACAATGGATTGATGTTTGGCAACAGGAACAGTCCAGTTCGATATGATGAACTGATATTTTGCAAATTAACGATTTACGATATGGTTTTCCAATTTTACTGAGTAACTCTGTAATTTTCGTTAAATACAATCCGGTTGCCCCACCTGTGTTCTCCTTCACTACAATATTAGTTATTTCTCTATTGACTTTTGCTTTCCCCACTTTAGATATTCCCAATGAATCGAATTTAATTCTACAGAATATTAAACCAACCGCAGAAAATTTTCATACAATTCAATATTTATTTCATCCGAATGGTTTCACAAATCCATTATGTAAAAATTCATTGCTCTATGTAACAATTAATCAAATTCAAGGTTTATGGCATTTACGTCAATGTTTATCATTACTGTTATTAACAACCACAACGACGACATCAACTGTAGAAGAAGATTCTCAATCAACAGTACATTTCCATATTCATCCATTACGAATCCAAGCATGTGTACATGCCATTGAACAATTGAATTTAACATTGATCACTACTCAGTTAAACAATGTACCACCATCATTGAAACACTCAATTCATGATCATTGGTCGGTATTGTATGAATTTGATAAAAGTATTGGGCATTTATTTGTAGCATATGCAATGATGTTAAAACACAATAGAACATTACTGCTACAACCATCTTCCGCCTCCTCTGCATCAACATCATCATTGTCTTGTCGTCAATTCACATCATCATTTTCAACATTATACGATATTCATGGTTGTTGTGAATGTTTCAATTGGGATTGGAGAAAATTGAATATATTTCTATGGAATAATACTATGAATGATCATGATGATAAGGTGGGTGGTTTTGTTGATTGTTATTTGTGTATGCTTGTTTTAATCCCCTAATGGAGTATATAGGCCGTCGACCAGTCTAATTAATTCTCCAGCCAACTCTGTCCTACGACAAGCCCTTACTTGGAAATCTCCAGGTCAAAGGAAAAGACGAAAGCCAAGGAAAACATTACGTCGACATGAAAAGAATGAACAAGAATTGGACCGAATGAGGAAGGGAAGCCCTGGACAGAGTTGGTTGGAGAATGAATACTGGTCGGCAGCCTATGCTCTATCGGGGGTAACAGGCGTAAGTAAGTAACTCTACCTTAGGCCTTCTTTCTCAATTCTACCCCAATTACTGTTCATTATTTTAATGCGTCGCCTCCAATTTTCGGCGCAGTGTGTTCCTTGGTCTGCCTTTTCTTTCTTTTGGCCCTGAGGATTTCAAATTAGGGGCTTGCCTTGTGACGCAGTTGGGTGATTTCCGCAGTGTGTGTCTCAATCTCTTCCTCAGTTGAAAGCTGTTTTGTTCTTTCTCACGGTAGATTGTTGTTTCTAACTTCACATAATAATATCCTCAAATACCTCAGAACTGCCGAGTGTGGGTGTGCTCTATCTTTCTCTCTCGAAATGCTTTCACATGGCTACGCGTATATAAGCGCTGCGACGGAAGTGTCCTACTTACTACCTTTTCGCACCGATTGTGTTGTTTGCGAAAATAAGAGGACGGGAAGCGAATACCTGCTACCTGGTTGATGGGCATTGAGGATCCACACCTAGAGAAGTCGGAAAACTTATTCCAAACCAATGATATTATATATGGGCTCTATGATTTTGATGTGTGGGGTTAGGGTAAAATGGCATCTAAACCTGTTGTTGATGACTAGATAGACAGAAGTGTTTAATGTAAAGAATAGATATGTCATGTGAAATTGTTTCAAGTGCTCTAGTTCAAAGATTGAAGGAAAGCTAGGTGCAGTCAAATCCCTGAAGTCACTGACTTTTGGACTGAGTCATGTTGATAGGTGTAGACTACTACCTGGTTAGGGTCCGCGAGATGATAGTAATCGACGGTTTCGAGACCTTGAATGAAATAGCTAACAATCATTTGTACTGGTGCAGGTTCATCCATTCTTTGTGTTCTCTCAAATTCTTACCTTCAGAGTTCCTCATCACCTTCGTCTTTCTCTTTTTAAGTTTATAACACTTAATTATGCTTCTTGAATAATATCTTCGAACCCTTATCTCTCTGATTACTGCTCATTCTCCTACTGTATCTATTACTTTAGGATTTGAACCGACCATTGCATCTCTGCGTGTTAATGTTGTATGGCAGTTTGAACGGATATACTTAAGTACGACTGACTGACTTCACGTTTTATCACAGCGATACAAGTTGTCAGTCAGAAACCATTAATATTTTTTTTAACTGAACTTCCTGTGACTTTAGGGACTGTAGGTGTATTGAATATCATTTCCAGTGTCATATAGGAGATTGGTTATAATCATTGTACAACGGGAGAAAATCAAACGGAAACTTAGTTCACAGAATAAACGAAATTACTAATTACAACTGTATAGGTCAGTCAGTCAGTCAATGTGTTTCTTCACTCACTCACGCTTACTTACTTACTTACGCCTGTTACCCCCAACGGAGCATAGGCCGCCCACCAGTTTTCTCCAACCAACTCTGTCCTGGGCTTCTTTCTCCAGTTCTGTCCAATGTTTGTTCATTCCTCTCATATCTTTCTCTATTTCTCAGCGTAATGTGTTCCTTGGCCTTCCTCTTTTCCTTTTGCCTTGAGGGTTCCATGTGAGGGCTTGTCTCGTGACGCAGTTAGGTGCTTTTCGTAGTGTGTGTCCTATCCACCAGCTCCACCGCTTCTTCCTGATTTCCTCCTCCACTGGAATCTGGTTTGTTCTCTCCCACAGTTCGTTGTTGCTGATGGTGTCTGGCCAACGAATCCGAAGTATTTTGCGTAGACGCACTCACTGCCTTGTAGATTAAATCTTTATGTCAAGGACAATGGGTACTGGCCGCTTAAGAAAAACAAGCGTAAAATTAGTCAATCGATTTCATTCCTTTGAAAAATAGCTTCTTATTATGTACGAAGTGTCTGAGTAGGATTACTACTGATCTAGATTTCTTAATTAAGCTTGATAGTAGTTATCTGATGTCACTTAATTGTGTGTGTGTGTGATAGTTTTTGATTCCACTGCTCCACGCCTAGGTAACTTGAGTTTTATCACTTTCCTAGATGGATCTTTCTTATCCACTTACTTGGTCTAAGTGTCTGACATTATTTGTTCAGCTGAATCTTTGTGGAAAACTTGATGTTGTCACATGAAGGAAGTGAAATAAAGGTTTTATTCTTCTAAGAACATTTGAAGACTAAATGAAAACTCTTGTTTTCCACTGCCGTATCAAAAGCTTCGCAATAAAATAGTCTTGTAATATGTCTGTGATAAAAACGATCACTATTAACTACACGCTGGTACCATGATGCCACAATTCCCTTTTCTCATAATTGAAATCGCCAACTGATCTTGGCTAGAGTAATAATAGAGACCCTGAAACACTGAGCTCCCATTTAGTCCCAGTATGGGATCTTCGTCCATTGCCTGCAACCGGTAATTGTCTCTTATCTGATACGGATTGAACTCCACCGGTCATGGGGCTTCTCACTAGAACTTCAGGAGTTCATCTTGTATCCAGTCACTAGTTGACATATCGTTGTTTTTATTGAAGTGAATTTGTAGAGATTGTATTATTTTCTTAGTTGAAATGAGAATTGCTCAAAATCATACAGTGATTAAAGTTAGACTTATAAACATCAATGGTCTAGAGGTTAAGAGTTCATACACGTGATTGAACGTCTTGGGTTCGATTGCTGCGTATGGGAGTTGTGGATGTGCACTATTGAGTACTGTCAGATGTAGACTATTTAGTTAGGGTAAGCGAGACGAAAGTCACTGATGGTTAAAGACCTTGAATGACATGGCTCAAAATCGTTTGCAATGGCGCAGGTGCATCCACTCTTTGTGTTCTCTCAAATCCTGATCCTCTGGATTCGTCGACACTTCTACCTTTGTCTTTCTAAACTGATCTTACTGAATTATACTTCTTGAATATTATCTTCATATCATAATCTCCTCCATTACCAGTAATACTTCTGTAGTGAACGGGAACACAGGTGGGGCAACCGGATTGTATTTAACGAAAATTACAGAGTTACTCAGTAAAATAGGAAAACCATATCGTAAATCGTTAATTTGCAAAATATCAGTTCATCATATCGAACTGGACTGTTCCTGTTGCCAAACATCAATCCATTGTCACTATTCATGCGTTTCATACAAATTCCATTGTGTTCTAACTCTTCCTTTCTTGATCTTTCTCCATCTTCTGCTGCCAGACATTACGTTGACACTCACGTCATATACTACTTATAAGTAGCTCGCACCACACTTCTACTATCTCCACCACTATGGGATTTGAATTGACAATGGCATCTCTGTCTGCTAATTTGGTATGACAATCTGAACTGATGTACTTAAGTAATTACAAAGTTCTACGTTGTAACCGATTGACTGACATATTGACTGTCGACGAGTTAGTTCTATACAAAGAATAATCGTCCATTCCATAACTTTCATGCTTCTAATAATACTGATTATGTTTTGGATTTCAACTAGAAAAATCATACACCCTAATTAATCATAAATCCCATATTTCATTAATTCCCCAATGTGTTTTTAATTGTTTTCAACCCCTTTCCAATCAATGTAAAATGTATAAACAGGACAAAAAATAGGATTAATTTAATACAATGATTATTGATTATTGAATGAGTCGAATGAAATGAATAATATTGTACAAAATAAGTAAAAAATAAAAATATCATAAAAATCACACTGAATGTGATTTGTCATTATTTATACACAATAACAATGCACTAACTAAATAGAAAAGTAATTTTTCCCCGAATATCACTCACCATTGATTAAATAAATAATGTGTGAGTGAACTCATTGTGAATTTGTTTTTTTTTTCTATCATGTGAATTTCATGCCATCATGAATAAATATGCTTAATTGACTGACAGATTGTGCTGAGTCACAGTGGTTCAGGTGTTTAACTTGAAGTCATTCAATTGCAGGTTCGAATCCTTTTATATACTTCAGGGTTCAATGAACACTGACTAGTGGACTGAGTCATGTTGGTAGATGTAGGCTATCTGGTTGGGGTCCACGAGACGAAAGTCACCAGTGGTTAGAGGCCTTGAACGACATGGCTTGAAATTGTTTGCAATGGTGCAGGTGCATTCATTCGTTGTGTTCTCTGAAATCCTAATCTTCTGGAATCGTCAGCACCTCTACCTTTGTCTTTCTAACCTTATCTCACTGAATATCTTGGAACCCTAATCTTCGCCTTTACCAGTAATACTTCTACTCTCTCTATCACTATGGGATTTGAATTGAGAATTGCATATCTGTGTGCTAATGTGGTATGGCAAACTGAACTGATGTACTTACGTACGTACAAAGTTCAACGTTGCAGCTTACTGAAAATTGGTAGAGAGTACACACTTGGAATATAGTTCGAAGTCAAGTATATAAATGTATATCTAGGTAATGAGTTCGCACTAACACTGCCGAATCAACTCATAATTAGACGTTTTTTTTCAAATGAAGTAAACATGGTTACAGGTTTCTCTATAAAGCATGTTGATAAATAGTGGAGTTCAACCATCTTAAGTGTTAGACATTAATGGAAGATGGTCGCATAATATCACGGATTAATTGAAGTAGGACAGAGTGTAAGCGTTCGCGTTCAAGACCAAAGGTCCTGGGTTCGAATCCTGTGAATAGCAGGATTTGTGTAGATGCGCACTGCTGATGAGTAGTCCCATACTAGAATAACACACCCGTTTAGTGGTTTCAGGTTTCCAGTCATGGTTTAACATTGATCGATTCATGATTTCAATAATTTAACTCAACAATATCCACGACCCTATATTGATAATTATTATCTGGCTTACTAGCGACTAGCTTGGTGTAGAGATTCTCGGATTTCTTCACTACCCTCATAATGATCATACATGATTGTAATATTCTACATAGTTCTTTGCTTAATGAATCACTGTCTACAAAAATGGCTTAAATGACGATAATCAGGGAACTAGATGTTGGGGATGTTAGGATCCCCAGAACTCGCTTGATAATTGTCTTATTTTGGATTTCACGTTTGCAAGCATAGGCTGATCAGTTGACCTTGAGATTTCATTTTTTTCGCACCAGGAAAATCCGTGGCTGTGATTGTCTGCTGTGTATTTTAGTATGCTATTTTCATAACTGTCCCAAGGACGTTTCTATGGTGTATAAATAAATGAGAGTTGTGTGCTTGATTGTATTGTGATTGCTGGGTGTTTGTAAAATATCCTTTCTACGCTTATCAAGACTTCAAGTTTGCCGTTTCGGATCAAGGTAGCCTATCTGGACGCTGGTAATTGTCTCATTCGCGTTTATCGACTAAGGTGAACTCGTAATCGCTTCAAGCGTACTAAGATTTACAGACCGAATGATATTGTATCATAGTACTTCTCATTAGTTGTAAACACTTTTAGTCAATGTGATTGATTTTAAACGATTACTGAAAACTGTTTTTAGCAAGAAGATACAAATTTATGTGACATCATTGATTATTTGCACCAACCACTTGATATTTAGATTTCATAGTGAATTGGATAACACGATAGCATTCGAAACGAGTCCCAGAATGAGCATCAACTATTCGAGACGCAGGTACACATCCAGCTGCCAAGTTTCAAAGTAGGACGAGACGCGCATTCTGGATTTTATCATCAGTCACTATCGGTCTGTGCTCCCAACCGTAGCTGCTACCTTGACGTGGTGGTCGAGCTTGCCTATCGTGATGATCGAACGAAGCTATGTTGGCTGGAACATATGTTTCTTCAGGTCCTACCATGCCAGGCAGGTCGATTGAAGAATGGTGAAACTAAAACCAACAACACAAGGTCTGAGGGCGAAGTCTTACTGCTGACTAACTGTAGAGAGGTGTGACAGCAGTATTTTGTTTCCCTTGGAAAAGCAGCATCTGCAGCGATGATGCCTTCTCGCCATATAGGAACGAGTCAAAAATGGTCGACCCCAAAAATGTCACATCTTGCCTTACCTTATGGATTTCCATCTCCGGATACTAAGACCTACTGGAAAGCGGAGCTAACACTTCAAATAATTTCCATGAAAATGCTGTGTGTGATCGGCCTCACACTCACAGGTCTCTAAGACCAACGCTAATCTAACTTGCTTTTCATCTTCCTCAAGAAACACCCTTCCACGGTGTGGGCAACTGGAAATGAACACCCGCCAACACACCCGTAACAGTACACAATATAATGCTCCCTAGATCTCTTGATAACTGTGCATTCGTGCTAATTACGTACGTAACCTAATAGTTTAAATTTTCTAGTGAAGTCATAAAGATGATGTCATAAGTATCAATCAAGAAATAAAATGAAAACAATTGATCATTGATCTGTCTGTGTAATCATGTCCAAACGCGTTGAAATGAAGTTGCGAATTGACCTTATGCGTGAATGTTCGAGTAGTGTTATGTGAATAGTGAGTGCTCAATAAATATATATCAGGAGATTGATTATGTAATAGGGCAAAGATTACAATTTGTTTTTACTCTGTACAGGGGTCAGGTTGAAAGCATTCTTTTTTTATCAATAGGTTCTATAAAGCGGAGTAAAACGCTGCTTGCACTGATTGTTAAGTATTTTGTGAATGCTATTACTATTAGCATAAGTTTGAATCAGGGATTAAGGGATTCGATATGTAGCCACTAAGTAGCATGTTCAAACTCCACCTCACCTACTTCCGATTAAGAAGGTGTTGGGGATCCCTAAAACTCACTTGATAAACGCCTTATTTTGGATTTCACGTTTGCGAGCAAGGGCTGATCAGTTGACCTTGAGATTTCATTACCCAACAGGAAAATCCATGGCTGTGATTGGCTACTGTGTATTTTAGTGTGCTATTTTGGTAACTGTCCCAAGGAGGTTTCTGTGATGTATAAATAAACGAGAGTTGTGTGTTTGATTGTATTGTGATTGCTGGATGTTTTGTAGATTATACATAGCCTTCTGTTACAGCTTGGGATTCAAGGTAGCTTATCTGGACGCTGGTAATTGTCTCGTTCGCGTTTATCGACTAAAGTGAACTCGTAATCGCTTCAAGCGTACCTAGTGACGAACATATCAGAAGGCTAGATAGCTCTTACATTTAAAGTATAACTTGAAGGTAAGTACACAAATTTGTACATGGTGAATGAACCTTGAATGATATGGCTCAAAATCGTTTGCAAAGGCGCTGGTGCATCCATTCTTGTTTGTGTTCTTTCAAATTCTAATCTTTGTAGTTGCTCATCTTGAATTATATCTTCGAACTGTAATCTTCTCCACTACCGCCAATACTTCTACTACTATAGGTAGAATTTGAATTGACAATTCGATCTGTCTGTGCTAATGTGGTATGACAATTTGAACTGATGTACGTACGTACTGAAGTTCAAACTAACGCTTCTACTACTACTACTCCTATTACTACTAAAACTTTTCAACATGTGAATTACTTACTTACTTACTTACACCTTTGTGTAGCATAAGCTGTTGACCTGCATTATCCAATCAGTTTTTATCCTCAGTTCTATATCTAACTTGTCATGAAGTGCTGTTCATTCATTTGTTGCCAGCTTCCAATTCTTAGGGCAATGCATTCTTTGGTTTGCCTCCTTTCCTTTAGTCTTGATGATTCCATAATACGGCTGGCCGCGTGACGCACTTGGATGCTTTCCGCAATGCGTCCTCCTCTACCAACAGCCTTTCTTCTTAATCTGAAATCTGGTTTGTTCTCTCCCTCAGTAGGATGCTACTGATGGTGTCTGGCCATCAGATCCACAGTATCTTATATAGACAACTTCTTGCATTTTTCGGTGATTGTTTTGGCAGTTCTCCAAGTTTCCGCTCCATACAATAGAACTGTTTTTGACAAATTGTATTGAAAATTTTGATTTTTGTGTTTGCTGACAGTTGTTTTGAGTTCCAGATGTTGTTCAATCATAGAAACTCAGCCCTTTGTTTACCGATCCGTGCCTTCACATCTGCATCAGACCCACCTTGATTGTCAATGATGCTAACCCTCATATGTAAAGGTTTTTGTGTCCTCGAAGGCTTCCTCATCAAGAGTGATATAGTTGGCGTATGTTGTGTTGTATCGGAGAATCTTGCTTTTCCCTTTATGTATGTTGGAATCTGCTGTTGCTTGAGCTACTGCTACACTGGTCATCTTCTCTTGTATATAAAAGATAGATCATCTGCGAACTCCAGACTGGCCAGCTGCATTCTGGCTATCCACTGTATACCGTGCTTCCCTCTAGATGTTGACGTCTTCATAATCCATTCGATCATAAGGAGAATAAGAATGGGTGAGAGTAAGCAACCTTGTCTGACACTGGTCTTCACCTCGAACGAATCTGTCCTCCGTGCATGATTGTACAGTTTAATCCATCATAAGAATTCTATATGATGTTAAGTATCTTTCTCAGACATGCCGTCGTGTCGATATAAATTATTACATATGAATGAAGTATTCTAATTTGACCAAGTTTTCAAATTTTCATTCTTTACAGTGTTTCAAATTACCATCATTTTTATTCCCACCAAAACGCATGGAATCGTCATCGCCAGCATCATCGCCATCGCCATCCTCATCATATCAACAATGTCATGACCCGATCGATTCACCGTCACCATTGAACCACAGGATCAATGATCAATTATTCATGAAACATGATGATGATGATGATCAATATTCAATGAATCATTTAATTCAACATGAACATACTCAATCACCATCACCATCGCCATCCTCATCATCACCTTCATCCTCGTCATCCTCGTCCTCATCCTCCGCATCCTCCTCCACCAAATCATCATTCATTAAATCACATCGAATCAACAATGATTCACCATATCCAACTGGTCATAATAATGAAGCATTAGTTGTACCAGCTGGTCTTAGTGGATCACAACGATCCAATGCATACATGCGTCTCAATAATCGTGTACGTATTATTGAACGTAATGTTTCTGTGAGTATGAGGTAGGTTTTGTTAGTTTGACGATGGATTGATTGATTGATTTGTCGTCTTTCCCTTTTTTGTGGGATAATGATGTATGATGGGATACAACCAATCAATGTATACAGTAGTAGTAGCAGTAGTGTAGTGTCCTAGATATGAATGTCAACACCTGCTAACCGTTTGAATTGAATTACTAGAGCTTAGAAGGTTAAAAATGAAGGCGGGATTTTCTTTTACGGCTAATGAACTGGTCTTATGGTGGAGTTTTATTCTCTGAGCTGGATAGTTTGATTATGTAGCTTTCATCATTGTTCTCCGGCACAGCAACTTCACCAGCACAAATGTCAGTTAGAAGAAGTAAAGTGAGGTCGCGCGTAATCCCTAGATCAATCAGAGTTAGACATTAACACCGTTAGATGCCGGCCCATTCGTACAATGGCTAGGCGTTCGCGCTGAATATCGAAGGTCCCGGTTTCGAATCCTGCGAGATGCAGGAGTCATGGATGCGCACTGCTGATGAGTCATATACCAGGACGAAATGACCGTCCAGTACTTCCAGGTTATCTAATGGTGGTAGTCTAACAATGATTGATTGATGATTTCAAATGTATAAAAACACTAGTCTCCATAAATCCAATTGAAAAAATTGATTATAACCAATTGATATTCAATACACGATCCATACAGTCAAAGAATGTCCAGTTAGAAAGTATTAATAGTACCCGACTGACAACCTGCATTACCTTAATTAATATACGTGAAGTCAGTTAGTCAGTTACAACGTACAACTTTGTACATACATCAGTTCAACTTGCGATACTACACATACAAAAGGAATTCTCATTTCAAATCTCATAGTTGTATAGGTAGTTGAAGTGATAGAGAGTGAAGTAGTTGAGCGTGTCGACCGCTTCACTTATCTCGGAAGTCTCATCAGTGTTAATGGCCTGATGTGTGACAAAATTTTGGAATGGATACAGAAGGCTCGACTGGATTTTGACAACCTTAGTCACTTATGAAGTAGGAGAGATATCCGTCTAGCGACCAAAGGACGAGTCTACTGCGCAACAGTTCACTCCGTCCAACTATATGGATGCGAAACATGGCCGGTAAAAGTACAGGACATGCGTAGATTGTTAGTATTAGATTATAGATGTCTTCGTGGCATTGCTCATATATCCTGGGACAACCGAGTAACCAGTTCTGTTGTTAGGAATCGAATACTAGGTAAGGATGGCAAATCAATAGATAAAGCAGTGAAACTTCATCAGTTGAAGTGGTTTGGGACACGTGTTACGTATGCCTAACCACAAACTGCCTCATCGAGCAAGATATGAATGTCAACACCTGCTAACCTTTTGAATTTAACTAGTATAGCTAAGAAGGTAAAAATGAAGGCGGGAGTTTATTATTTTTCACGGCTAGTGAACTAGTGTTATGGTGGAATTTCATTTTGTAAGGTGGATAGTTTGGTTATGTAGCTTTCATCATTGTTCTCCTGAAAAGCAACTTCATCAGCACAAACGTCTTGTAGAAGGAGTGAGGTATTGTTAATGTCTCTACGTAGCTTGTTTCTGTTTCAGATTGATCTTGATTGGTTATAATTGTCTATGAACGTTTATTTTGATTGTATCCCCCCCCTTTGATCTGTTTCTTGATTTGATGTTTATTTATGGTTTTAGGTGATTGATTGATAAATTAGATCAAGGTCGATTTGATCTGAATGTCAATCTTCTAAAAATTCTCTAGTGTTCTTAGTACTCCGTCTATCCAGTATTTCAATATTGTTCCCAATCGAATGTATGTTGACGGTTGTTCATATGTATTTGGATATAAGGGAAGGAATATAATGGCGTTTGCCTACTAATCGATGTTCACGTCCCTTGCAGAAAATGATGTGAAATACTGGATAGAAGGGACAGTAGGGAATTTTTGTAAGCTTGACTAATCACTGTGAAAGCTAACCGAGTAAACAATGTTGTTGTTAGGAAAGGAGTACTAAGGATAGCAAATCAATAGATGAAGTGGTGAAACTTCATCAGTTGAGGTGGTTGGGATGTGTTACGTATGCCGACTGCCGCGACGAGCTATGTTTTGTGGTGTAGGAGTAGGTTGGACGGAAGCTAGGGACGGCCAAACCAAAACATGGCACAAATCTCTGAAGTCACTGACAGCTGGACTGAGCTATGTTGCTAGATGTAGGCTACCTGGTTGGAGCCCGCGAGACGGTAGTAATCGATGGTTAGAGGCCTTAAGAGAATTGGCTCAAAATCGTTTGTAATGGCACAGGTGTATCCACTCTTTGTGTTCTATGAAATTCTAATCTTCTGAATTGCTCATCACCTTTATCTCTCTCTTTTCGAGTTTATCTCACTGAATTATACTTTTCGAATCATATCTTCACTCCCTAATCTTCTCCATTACTGCTAATAATTCTACTATCGCTATCACACTTGGATTTCAACTGACAGTTACGTCTCTGTGCTGATGTGGTATGGCAACCTGAACTCATGTGCGTACTTACGTATGAAGTTCTACATTGTAACTTACTGACTGATAAGCTTGACACTCAGATCAACCAGCAATGTCCCCGTAATGTCACGATTTGCTCGGAACATGGAGCAGCCGTTCTGTAGTTACTGCCAATTTCAAAAGCCCGAATAGAGAAGGATGGTTAGGCATATGGGATTTAGCGACTCCATCCTGTAGAAAACCCAACTCACTGGAAAGAAAGTGTTTACCTCTACCTTTTCAGTTGTTTCAAACAAATGCATTTCGTTGAAATAATTAACTGCATAAAAAATCTGATCATTTTATTTCATCTTCTCATTATCATTAAGACATTATTTCAAGAATTTATTGAAAATTGAATTTTTAAAGCTTGTACATTCAATCGATCAATCAATCAAATCGAATTAAATCAATATTGAATTTCTTCCGCTCATTAGAATCAATTCGTTTACATTTTATTATTTCAATTGTGATGATAAATTTAGACATTATGGAGGAGGAGAAGAAGAAGCTGAGTATTATGTATATTATTCCAAACTTTTATGTCTAAGCCTTGTAGTAGATTATAAGAAATTCTTCAGCTAGTTAGTTAATTAATTCTAAACAACGTGATGAGTAATCGATCGCTGTTAGACTTCCATCAGAAACGTAGAAGTACTGGACAGCCGTTTCGTCCTAGGATATGGGACTCATCAGTGACAGTGCCTTCCACGACTCCTGCTACTCTCGTGAATCGAAACTAGGACCTTCAATCTTGTGCGCGGACGCTTAACCTCTGGACCACTGATCCAGCATCTTACGATGTCAATGTCAACCAATTCACTAGCCGGTATCTAACGATCCCCGCACACCAGAATCGAACATAGGACCTTCGGTTTCAGGGGCAAATGCTTACGCTGTTGACCACTGAATTGACATCCAATGGTGTTAATGTCTCGCGACGATTAATTCACAGTATTGTACAATCTCACCCACTGCCTTCGGTGAGCACTGCTTCACATCTGAACAGGGCTGAAATTCACTGGTCACTTGATATCTCACTAGAACTCATCGGAACGTCCTCACGGAGCTAGTCATTAGTGGGAACACATGATAATTTACATTTCAAGGTTATGTTGATCGGTGCTTGCCGGCTTAGAGGTCCAGAGGTTAGGCATTCACGCTTGAGACTGAAGGTTTGGGGTTTGATTCCTGCGATTAGTAGGATTCGTGCAGGTGCTCTGTTGATGAGTCCTATACGGCCGTCAAATGCTTACAGGATTCTAATTATGGTCTGACATTGATCGGTTCATGAGTTTAATGTGAATTTTTTCCGTGATTCATTGAAACGAGGCAAAAGAAAAAAACGATGAACATGATCAGAATCGATGTTGTACAATCGACGTTGTACCTGGAGAAACGAAACTATGAAGCACATGAAGTAATAGGCTTTAAATTACTAAGAAAATAAATAGAAACTGAATCTGTTGAGTCCCATACCAGGACGAAACGACCGTCGTCCTATGCTCCCAGGTTTCTCATGATGGTCTGACAATGACTGATTGGTGATTTCAACTTGTAGAAACTAACTTCATTGAAATGTTGTATCTTAAATTTGCCTATCATTGATTTTCTTGCAGCATACTTGTGTGTTGTGTTGGATGTGCCACTCATTTATACAACGAAGCGCCACCCATAAGTCGCCACCAGAGACGCTTGTCATTGACCGATATGTATTGACGCGATTAAACTGTAATAAAGAGCAGAAGAGATGTGAGAGTAGACAGTCGGAAGCTTATATATATTCTAAATGGATGTTTGAAGATTATGTGTGTACATATTTTGTAAATAGGAATTAGAAAGGACAAAAGTCTTCTTGTGACAATCATAGGGGAATAAGTCTAACTAATACAATTTCTAAATTGTTAGCCTCGATTATACTTAGACGCCTAACTAGAGCTCGTGAAGAACAGGCTAGAGAAAACCAGTCTGGTTCTCGACCTGGACGTGGCTGTATAGACCACATATTCACACTACGACAGGTCCTGGAACACAGACACACATTTAGACCTCCGACAATAGTTGTGTTCCTGGACCTAAAAGCGGTATTTGACTCTGTGGATTGTGAGGTTCTGTGGCAGTGTCTGTCATTAAAAGGTGTACCAAAGAAGTACATTAACCTCATACAAGCTCTCCACTTGAACAATACTGGTCGAGTGAGAGCTTATGGCGAACTGTCATCTGAATTCTCTACATCAAGTGGTGTCCGTCAGGGATGTCCACTTTCTCCATTCTTGTTTAATTTTGTCATAGACATCCTCTTAGAGTTAACATTAGGCTCGTCAGATTTTTCAGGGGTTGACCTTCTACCAGGAAAATCGCTTGCTGACTTAGAATATGCCGATGACATAGTTCTATTTGGTGAATACGCTGACAAAATGCAGTCTTCTGATCACGCTAAGCAACAATGCATGTTTGAGATGCGGTTCCCCCCCCCCCGAAATGCAAAATGTTGTTTCAAGATTGGGTT